GAAGGAAGGAAGGAAGGAAGGAAGGAAGGAAGGAAGGAAGGAAGGAAGGAAGGACACCCTGACCTATAACTCTACCTACGGCAAGAAAGGGAGACCCCAGAAATGAAGAGTTTGCAAATTGGACAAGGGAAACGAGGCTTCCCCAGAAGGATACAGGTCTCCTCGTACACTTGGATGGTGGCCAGGTCTCCGTCCAGCCGGATTATCTCACCCACCAATTCAAAGTGGCCAACGCGGACCAACTCGTACATCGCTGCGCCGGCCATCTTGCAGGCAATCACCACTGTTGGGAAATTTTTTTAAAAAGGTATTTTTAGCAGAGAAAATAAGAGGCTTGAATAAGCTGCAGAAGAGAAAATAGTCTATCGGAGACAGGATAATCCGAAGTCCATCCACTTGAAGATGGGTGGACTTGAATTCCCAGAATCCCCCAACCAGGAATTCTGGGAGTTGAAGTCCACCCATCTTCAAGTGGCCAAAGCTGAGAAACACAGAATTTAGCCAGCATCTAAATAGGGATTATCAACATTTCAGCCTCCACCTTCATCCGACTGACATTCAAAACCCAGCAATAAATTAGCAGTCGATCATAGAAATACAGACTATCCCAACTATGCTTGAGAAGTTGTGCCCAAGATTTTATTTCAAACAGTGTAAAGGTCCAAGGACTGTAGTGACATCCTTAAGGTAAAGGTTCCCCTCGCACATCTGTGCTAGTCCTAGTTCCCAACTCAAGGGGGCGCTGCTCATCTCCATTTGAAAGCCGAAGAGCCAGCGCTGTCCAAAGACGTCTCCAGGATCATGTGGCCGGCATGACTCAACCCCAAAGGCGCACGGAACGCTCTTCCCTTCCCACCAAAGGTGGTCCCTATTTTTCTACTTGCATTTTTTAACATGCTTTTGAAGTGCTAGGTTGGCAGAAGCTGGGACAAGTCGCGGGAGCTCACTCCATTACACAACGCTAGGGATTCGAACCGCCGAACTGCCGACTTTTCTGATCAACAAGCTCAGCGTTTTAGCCACTTTCTCTTTTGGTGACATCCTTCATTTTCTTTAGAACAAAAACTGCATAAAGAATCTCAACTATTCTCAAACATAGCAAAGAGCATTATCCTTCTTGTATGGAGTCCTATCCACCAGGACTGTTTGTTAGATTGATATCTCATTTTAATTTCTCCCAAAACCTCTAATACGATATTCTTATACAGTATATAATTTTTTTGGGATTTTAGATTTAGATTTGATCTCTGTAAACTGAAGGTGGGCACCCAAACTGAAAGGGAGATTCGAAGGCCGCTAGGTGGCACTCGGGAGCCTCTGTTCCTTTATTTTGGAGAAATAAAAAAAAATTAAGAAAAGTTTTAGTTTTTTACCCAGGCTCTACATCTTTGCAGTTTAGAAATACTAGTAAAAATTGTGGGAGGGAAACAGCCTAACAATATGCAAAATCACACACAAAATTGACTTTGGCGTGCATCTGCTTGCATCAAAGATGTTGAGACTTTGGAAAAAGTTCAGAGCAGAGCAACTAAGATGGTTAAAGGCCTGGAGAGTCAATCATAGGAAGAGGCTGCAAGTTTTGGGTCTGGCTAGTCTAAAGAGAAAAAGAATTAGGGGTGACACGATAGCAGTATTTTGGTATTTGAGGGGCTGCCCCAAAGAAGAGGGGGTGAAATTATTCTCCAAAGCACCAGAAGGCCAGACAAGCAATAATGGAGGGAAACTGACCAAAGAGACTAGGAATTAAGGAGAAACTTCCTAACAGTGAGAACAATTAACCAGTGGAACAGCTTGCCACCAGAAGTTGTGAAGGCTCCATCACTGGAAGTTTTTAAGAAGAGACTGGACAGAACAGACATTCGTCTGAAATGGCATAGGTCTCCCGGTTGAGTAGAGGGTTGGACTAGAAGATCTTCAAGGTCTCTTCCAGCTCTATTCAAGAGCCCTGTTGAATAGGTGGTTAGAATGCAGGGCTGCAGCTAACTCACTGCTCTCTCCGGGAGTTTGAATTGGAGTGGCTCAAGGTTGACTCAGCCTTCCGTCCTTCCGAGGTTGGTAAAATGAGGACCCAGATTGCTGGGGGCGAATAGGCTGACTCTGTAAACCGCTTAGAGAGGGTTGTAAAACACTGTAAAGCGGGATATAAGTCTGAGGCTATTGCTGACTGATTGATCTCCTTTCAATCACACCTTGTGAAGGACAGTAGAGCAGAAATTTGGACTAGGTCCCTGACTGGCTATTAGAAACAGTTCTTGCTCTCCTGAAGCACACCAGCTAACTGCAGGTAGTCCTCGACTTACGACCACAACTGGGACCTGAATTTTGTGTGGCTAAGCAAGGCGGTTGTTAAGTGAACCGTGTCTAATTTTATCACCTTTTTTGTTTTGGCCACAATTGTGAAATGAATCACTGTAGTGAATCCATTTAACAGCTGAAGTGATTCGCGTAACAATTGTGGCCCCCCCAAAAAGTCATAAAAATCAGGCACGACTCACTTAACAACGCCTTGCTTAGCAATGGAAATGTGATCCTGAAGTGAAGCTAACTTGTCTCACTGAGTTTGCTTCTTGGAGGACAGCTATAAAGGTCCCGGAGCTGGGGTCTCCAACCTTGGCAACTTTAAGACTTGTGGACTTCATATTATCATATATGGTGGACCTGCGAAAAGGTCAAGGCATTCTGGATAAAAATATGGTGGGTTATGCAAAATATCTTTAAAAGAAGGATAAAGTTTACTCCTCAGTTATTTTTACTAGGTATAGGTACTGACTTTACAGTGGTGGACACCATATATGATAATATGA